ATAATTCTAAGTTTTGGGTTCTGTTAATTGGATTTGTGATTAAATGCATTAAAATAAACATATTTAAAAGGTAACCGATCATTGTAAAACTTGGTTTATGTACATAATGACTAATTGATGGATGTCTGGCCCCTGAGCAGTGGCTTTCAGAAACTATGGCCCCTTGAGCAATTAAGTTGAATAGCCCTGACTTATAACAAAAAAGTTGCAACATTTATATTTTGTTATTGACAGATTTTGTTGTTTGGATGTCTGAGAGAAGTTTTTTTGGTCAAAAACCTATAGTACACACAGGCAGCATGACCTTGTTTTAACTTTCTTTGAGTTTCGTCACAGTAATCATGGTTTTCATTAATTTATTTCATGTAGTTTTATTTTTGTGTGACAATATAAAAGGCCAGACTAAAATATATATATTTTTTAATTTGAGGATTTTGGTTCTTGATCACCCAACACCTTTTAACAGGTGTTTTAGCACGTCCTGCTGTTGATTGCTGGTACTGCGCATGCGCTGTCAGAAAGGCATTTTCCGGAAGGGAGCGCGTGCAGCCGCAGAGCAGTCTTGAATCTGATTGGTGGAGGGGCTACCTGCACCTGCGGCTGCTGTTTATGAGACATTCAGCATGTTGCTCTGCGCGAGCGCGACTGGCCGGACTGCAAGGCTTTGAAATCCCTCGTAAGTAATTTACAAAGAAAAACAATTTGATACAAATATGTAGTTTTGGTGAAAAGCCGCTAAATATTTCAGAGTAGACGGTTACATATGCCGCGAACTCGTTCCTCAGTTCTGTTATAATTGGACATCGCAAACTCAGCAGTATATGTGACAAACTTTAACAAGCTAACAATGAAACTTCAGATCATAAAAAAGTTAAAATTGGCTGTATGTATAGCAGCAAATTATGTTGAAACAAATGCAAATTGTTTATTGTTTCTGTTGCTATAAGGCCAAATTTCCCCCTTTTGTCTTTTAAGTTAAACAAAACTGTTATTGAAGAAATGCTTTATTTCTATTGAGCCTAAGCACACACTAAATGTGAAGTGTTCTTGTTTGACACAGAGACTAAAGTATTTTAGTTCAGCTTAAGGCGAGATATGAAAAATAAATGTTTGCATATGTTTTCGGTGTGATTATCATAATTGTGTTTTTCATTTTCACTTGACACACTGAATTTAAGTATGATTTTTTTTTACATTGTTTTTTATTGTTTTTGTTCTGCATTTATTTGATGTTTTTTATTGCACTGTCCTTGAGTGCCATGAAAGACGCCTTTTAATAAAATGTATTATTGTTTAAATAAAATCCCAATATTTAAATAAATATTTAAATATTTTATATTTTTATTGTATTTGAATATCCCAATATTTAAATAAAATGTATATTTCTATTTAAAATGTATATTTCTATTTAAAATGTATATTGTTATTTAAATAAAATGTTGTTGTTGTTGTTGTTGTTGTTGTTGTTGTTGTTGTTGTTGTTGTTGTTGTTGTTGTTGTTGTTATATTTAGGTTATTTTAGCAGTGAAGGAAAGCCTATATATTTAAGGTATTTTAAACACCTGGCAGTTTGTTGTTGTCACTCAAATCTCAGCCATGAATATTGATCATCTAATTCATGATCTAATTGATGATCTTATTGTTCGTCTTTTCTTGTCTAAATTATAGTTGTTCATGATTTTGCTTGTTTTCCTCAGATCTGAGTGGTGGGCAGCTGGAAGCTTTGAATTTGAGACGAAGATGGAGGGGTTACTGATTTTTAAATCAGCTTCTCTCAGCTGTTCACCTCAAGATTCTTCTTCCCCGTTGCCACTGGATGCTCGGGAAGAGTCTCGTCTCCAAGCATCTCCTTTGGCCCCTGCCATAGATGTTACAGCTGTGCCTCCACCTCCTCCTCCTCCTCCTCCACCTCCTCCTATGCCCCCTCAGCTTCCTCCCACTCCATTTGGTACCGGTGATGTCCAGAGACGATCCATGAAAAAGCTGAACTGGGACACCATTCCCAGCCATTCTGTGATGGGCAAGCTTAACGTGTGGACGTCCCAACGACCTCAGAGACAGCTGGTTCTGGATATTCAAGCTATGGAGGAGTTATTCAGTCACACTGACAAACGAGCATCAATACGCAGTTCAAGACTCATGGGCATGAGGAAGATTGATGGCATGGAGCTTAGTGCACAGGAGGCTCAGGTAACAAATAATGTTGGACGTTAAGCTTAATTACTAGTAAAAGGGTATGTGATTTTTATGAGCCTTTAAACGTACTGCAAAAATAGGAGAAGTAATAAACACACTGGTAGGAACTAATGTTTTTATAAGTTCCTTGCTAGACCTTTTATCAGTGAGGGACTAAATAAAAGTGAGCTATAAATTCTTAGCTTCCTCAGAAAATGCGGAGAATTTTCTGGACTGTCTCCTCATCCAAACGACAGCAGCGATGTGAAACATAAACTGATGACTCTTGGGGTTTTTTTTGTTGTTGTTTTTTTTTTGTCTTCAGGTCACAATTCTGGACTCAAAGAGAAGTATGAACATTGGTATCTTCCTGAGACATTTCAAAAGGTATGGCTGAATCAATATGGGAAAAAAAATCAATCAAATTTAAATATTATCTCTCGCACAATCAGTGTACAACATGATATACAATTTAAACTAAATCAAATGTAACACGAGTAAAATGATGCATCAGACACTTCCACTGTTGTTAATCTTAATCCAGCAGAAGGGTTATTATTTTAACCAAACACGTACAAATAAGTACCTCACTTTATTATTACTTAAATTGTGAAATAAAGGATTCTTGTTGAACAGTCTTGAAATAGGAAGATGTTCTCAGTAGGTTTGAAGCAAAATATTGGGTGTCTGGCACTTCGGTGTATCCTAAAGTTCAGTAGCAAATACAACACTTGCTGCTTAAATGTGTATTTGGGCCTGTCCTCTTTAATCCTGATAATGTAACATCCGGTCCAATGTTCACCAGTTGCTTTGAATATCAAATTCACTCTTATTGCTCATGAGCCCTAAAAGTACTGGGATCATGTTTGCATTATTATCTTGTTTAAAAAGAAATTGGACCAGCTGCTGTGGGGTAATGTTGTTATTTGAATGCAGTTTATTAAGTACTGGACATTGCACAAGTACATTAAAATAGTTTGACATGTTAATCTCTCAGTACATTTATATGTACCACCATTACTGTAGACAGACAAGTTTAAGTTACCACAATAACTGCAAACTAAATTTCAGGATTGTACATATAAACTAGAGAGTACAAGCCAGTTTATGTCTTGTGCTGTTCTCATTACCCAGTAAATAGTGAGGCTTGTGTCAGGAAGGGTATCCATCATCTGGCGAAAAACACTTTTGCCAAAACTAACATGCAAAATCATCCTTATGACACCATACCTGATCGGTCGAGGCATGAGACAACAAACGCTACTGGTGCTGTTGACAGGGTGCCAACGGAAATTGTGCTACTGCTAGTCAAAGATCACGAGGATGGAAATGTGTCAGAAGACAGAGGTAGAGAAGAAGTCAAAAATGTAGGACTGAGGGTGGTAACTATAAATGTGGGTACAATGACAGGCAAAGGTAGAGAGCTGGCTGACATGATGCAGAGAAGGAAGGTAGGTGTTTTATGTGTCCCAAGAGACCAAATGGAAGACGGCAAAACTTGCAGCATTGGGATAGGGGTTTAACCTGATTTTCCATGAAGTGGATAGGAGGAGAAATAAAGTAGTGATGGTCCTGAGGCAAGGAATGTAGTGGAGTTAAAAGGAGTATCGGATAGGGTGATGTGTCTGAAGGTAGAAGTAGAAAGTCTACTGTAGATGTTATCAGTAATTATGCTGCACATGCTGGATGTGATGTAGAGGAGAAAGAGAAAATTTGAAATAATCTAGATCAGGGGTGTCAAACTCCAGGCCTTGAGGGCCAGAGTCCTGCAACTTTTAGATGTGTCTCTGATGCCACACAGCTGAATCATATGACTGAATTAGCTTCTCAGTGCAGTCAAGTTCTCCAAGTCCTGCTGGAATGGAAAGCATGTGTGCAGCAGGTTAGGTTTGTTAATGATAGAAATTATAATGTTCTGACGAGTGTGATGGGTAGATGAAAAAAGTATTTTGAGGAGCTATTGAATGTAAGGAAAACAAGTGTAGAGGTCATAGAAGCTGTAGACCAGGAAGTGGAAAAGATTAGTGAGGAGGAAGTTTGGAAATCATTGAAGGGGAACAGAGTTGGACCTATTGACATACTAATGGAGGTATGGAAATGTTGAGGAGAGATGGCAGTGAGAATATTTACTCCAATATTTAATGGAATTTTTTGAGAGTGAGAAAATGTCTGTTGTTTGGATAAGTGTGCAAGTACCATTATAAAGAACAAGGGTGATGTAGCAACAACAGGGTAATTAAATTGATGAACCACATGAAGATCTGGGAGTGAGTTGTGGAAGCTAGACTTAGACGTGAGGTAACTATTGGTGAGCAGCAGTATGGTTTCATGCTAAGAGAACACCACAGATATCATCTTTGCTTTGAGGATGCTGATAGAGAAGTACAGAGAAGGTCAGAAAGAACTCCATTGTGTCTTTGTTGATTTAGAAAAAGCATATGACCAGGTGCCGAGGGAGAAGGTGTGGTATTGCATGAAGAAATCTGAAGTGGCAGTATGTTAGACTGGTACAGGACATGTATGAGGACAGCACGACAGTGGTTAGATGTGATATAGGCATGCAGATAGCTTCAAGGTGGTCATGGGATTGCATTAAGGATCAGCTCTGAGACCCTTTTTGTTTGCTCTGGTGATGGACAGAAAAACAGATGTGGTCAGGCAGGAATCCCTGCCAGAGGTTTGCAGATGATATTGCAATCTGTGGTGAGAACTGGTGGAAGAGAATTAGGAAAGGTTGAGGTGTGCACTTGAAAGAAGAGGAATGAAAGTCAGCCATAGTAAGACAGAGTACATGTGTGTGAATGAGAGGGAAGCCAGTGGAACAGTGAGGCTACAAGGAGCAGAGGTCACAAAGGTGCAGGACTTCAAGTACTTGGGGGAAACAGTCAAGGAAAATGGTGAATGTGTTAGAGTTGAAGACGAGAGTCCAGGCAGGATGGAGTGGATGGAAAAAGATTTCAGACATAATTTATAGAGGTGCACCAATAAATCGGCCCCGATTTCCTTAATTTTGGGAAATTGGAAATCAGCCGATACTTGCATGAGAAACCGATTTTACCGATATTAAGTTTTAACAACAATTGTCTGAACTTTTTTTATATTTCAGAGCACTCCCTCATGGCCAGTTAAAACAAGTTTGTATTGTTTCTAGGATATTGTTCAAGGGTATGTTTTTCAATAAAATAATATTGGAAAATTGAAGGTGCATTGTGACCTTATAACGCCAGTGTCGCTTATAAACCAATCGGTATCGGCCAAAATCAGAATCAGCAGGTCAAACTTTTTAGAAATCAGCGATCGTGATCGCCCAGAAAACTGCAATTGGTGCACCCCTAGTAATTTATGATAAAAGGACAGCAGCAAATGTCAAAGGAAAAGGTCACAAGACAGTGGTGAAACCATCTATGTTGTACGGTCTGGAGACAGTGGCATTGCAATAAAGGCAGGAGGAAGAACTGGAAGTGTCAGAAATGAACATGTTGAGGTTCTCCTTAGGAGTAACAAGGATGGATAAGATTAGGAATGAGATCATCAAAGGTACAGCACAGGTTGAACAACTGGGAGATGAAATTGGAGACCAGACTAAGATGGTTTGGACATGTCCAGAGGAGGGACAGTGGGTATATTGGTAGAAGGATGTTGGCAATGCAGCTGCCAGGAAAAAGACGGAGTAAGACTAAGGGTGCATTCACACCAGCCCTGTTTAGTCTGCTTTAATTGAACTCTAGCTCATTTTCCTAGAAAGTCCGGTTCGTTTAGGGAGGTGTGAACGCGCCATCGAACTCTTGTCACGGAAAAAAAAGGTTGAACTCTGGCCCGGGCTAAAACCTAGGTCTCCGTCCGGTAGAAGCGAACTCCAGCGCGGTTCAAGTGCAGTGTGAATGTAAACAGACCAGACCCCGCACCACAGGACAAACAAACACGCATTTCTCTGACCGTCCGTTTCTTCTGTCCTCACGTTAACTACTCCATCTTTATCCCCTTTAGGTCGTTTTCACACCAGATAGTCCGGTAGACTCGGTTCGGGACCAATATTCATGACCTTTTGTTTACGTTTGAGCTGGTGCATTTGCATTCACACTGCACTGTGCAGTCGAGTCAACCTGTTGAACCAACCTGTTCCCCCGCTCGCCTGTGGGGGCGCTGCACCAAGAACTACTGAAAGAAACGACACAAAAACCTCTGAAGACACTTCTTATTATTTTGTAAATAAAAACAAAAACGAAGTGGCATCAAGTTTTAGCAGTTTTAGGAGTTATATTTTGTCATTTTTCAAAAATGGACTTAGCATGAGCAGAAGATGAGACAGAAGACCATGGAGAATATTGTTTTTCCACACAAAGCAGCTGACAGCTCCATATAAGATGGAGTAAGAATGAGGATGACTTGTGGCAACCCTTGAAGAGGGAACAGCCGAAAGAAGACCTGTATCAAAACCACTTATGTTCCTCAATGAGCAAAAGATCACTTACTGTATAAATTTACAGAATAAAATCAAATTTTCAACTTTTTATGCTCCAAAATTGTCTTTAAGAGCTTGAATGTTGTCATTCAAATCAGTCAAATCTTTTGACATTATTACACTGCAGGCATTTTCAACCAAAATAGAACTTAAAGTAAATACTTCCTTAAAACACCCAGTGATTTGGTTAATGCGATATCCATTGTTTGTTAAATAATGTACATTATGACATCAATTACAGTAGCACAAGCATCTACCCTTATGCATTTTGGTCTTTTGTCTACTTTTACAGGCCTGTGACACAAATAATAGAGGACATTCATCAAGTAAACTGGCTCCAGTTTGGACCAGGAAAACTAAAAGAGCTTTGTAAACTGCTGCCAGAGGAGAGTGAGGTAACATTTGCACAGTTCTTCTCACAGTCAACTGTTAATATAAAATAGAGCTAATTATCATTTCAGACATGTTGGAAATATAACTAAAAGACTGGCTATATTGACATTACACAAAGATCCCACAGATTTATCGGCAAATATCTGACAAAGTTACACCAGATTTCCTAATTTCTATATGAACCTAACAGCAAATTAAATAAGGCAGGAACACATTTGTCTACTGGAGAAGATCTGAATGCTACACAAAGCATTTTGTAGTTTATAATTCTTTGCTGCAAATAATGTACTTTTAGCTAAAACTAGTGGGGAGCAATCATGACTACCGATACAAAGCAGTGAACCTGTGAAACAAAGCATTGTGCTTTAATTGTTTAACAATAGATGCATTTTAATAAGTGCTCAAACCTGAAAGAATTCTGTAGAACTTATATTTCCATGAATAATGCTGTTCTTGGGTCATTTCAACTACGTATGTTGGCTTATAACCAGAAAATCAGGGTGCAAATGTTGTTTTTGGTGAAACACTCCTATTATTTTGACATGACTACCAAGTAAAGCTTTAGGGACACTAGTTTTCCGTTTTCTCCAATTCAGTCATGTTATATTTGCACAAGAGATAACACAAATCTGCAGTTTAAGTTGTGGTTTTTTCATCTTTAGCTGAAGCAGCTTCTGTCGTTCAGTGGCAATCTCTTTGTATTACCTGAGGCCGAGCAGTTTATGGTGAAACTCGTCAAAGTGCCAGGGTGAGTTTCCAATATGTTTTTTTTATGCAGCGTTAGGTTGTCATTTAATGTAAAATACTTCAAGTTATAAAGTAAAAAGCTGTTCAAGAAGGCAATAAGTTAGTTTTTATAATTATTTTTAGATGTGTCCTCAAAAGGCAATGCTCTTAAAACAATTTCCTCAGAATTCTTAGGTTTCCAGCGTTTAATGAAGTTGGTGCAGTATTAAAAATTTATTTTTTGTCCTACCCTTTTGTAGCTATGAGGAACGACTGAAAACCATGGTGCTGAGGGAGGAATTCTTGCCTCTTATGGAGGAAGTGAAGAATGCCATTACTGTCATGACCAACGCTGCTAATGGTAACATTTCAGTCCCACCCATCCAGCTATTTACATGTCCAGTCTGTTCACTTTTACCCTGCAGATGTCACTAAAGGGAGTATTCAGATCTTTTAAAGTGGGCTTCTGTAAAAGATTATGAACAACTAATATCTTTTAAAGAATGCATTTTGATAATGTATATTTGAAGAAAGGGTTTAATTCTGACTGGGTTGACAAGCTTACACCTAATTAGAACCGAGTTAAGATCAAAATGAATTGCTGCTGCCTAAAAACAACTCCAGTCTTAAAAAAAAAAAAATCATAGTTGTTTGTGCAATGGCTATTTTCTAAACCTTTATATCACTGTCCACTTGGCATTACAGTAGTTCCTCGTTTATCGTGGGGAATCCGTACCCTGAAGCCCCGCGATAAGTGAAAAACCGTTAAGTAGGAATAGTAGTACAAGTCCGCTCTGCATGAAGATCAGCTGCAAGAAGAAGCTTCTCCCACAGCTGTGGGCTGCACACAGGTGCTAAATCATTTAAAATTTAAAAAATCCATATTTCATAACTTTTATGGACAGAATTTCTTGGTGCAGCCAGCGGGTGGGGGGTTTCCGGTTCGGTGGCCTCAGGATTCCTTCTCTGCTCTTTGCAGATGATGTGGTCCTGTTGGTATCATCGTGCCGTGATCTTCATCTATCACTGGAGCAGTTTGCAGCAGTGTGAAGCGGCTGGGATGAAAATCAGCACCTCCAAATCTGAGCCCATGGTCCTCAACCAGAAAAGGGTGGATTGCTCTCTCCAGGTCGAGGGTGAGGTTCTGCCTCAAGTGGAGGAGTTCAAGTATCGCAGGGTTTTTTCGTGAGTGAGGGAAGAATGGAGCGTGAGATTGACAGACGGATTGGTGCAGCATCTGCAGTATTGCGGACTCTGTACTGGTCTGTTGTGGTGAAGAGAGAGCTGAGCTGTAAGCAAAGCTCTCTATTTACAGGTTGGTCTTCGTTCCTGCCCTCACCTATGGTCATGAGCTCTGGGTAGTGACCGAAAGAATGAAATTGTGAATACAGGTGGTTGAAATGAGTTTCCTCCACAGGGTAGCTGGACTCTCCCTTAGATATAGTTTGAGAAGTTCAGTTATCCAGGAGAGACTAAGATTAGAACTGCTGCTCCTCCACATCGAGAGGAGCCAGTTGAAGTGGTCCGGGCGTCTGGTAAGGATGCCCCCTTTGGGCATGCTCGACTGGGAGGAAACCCCGGGGAAGACGCAGGACGCGCTAGAGAGACTATGTCTCTGTTGGCCTGGGAACACCTTGGAATCCGTCCAGAAGAGCTGGAAGAGGTGGCTGTAGAAAGAGATGTCTGGACCTCCCTGCTCAAGCTGCTGCCCCCGCGACCCAACTTCGGAATAAGCGGAAGATGATGGATGGATGGATGGATGGATGGATTGTTAAAATATCCATGCTGATCGTGTGGCTCATCCATCAATCAGTCATTGTGTGTCATGTCTAATCTTACTTTGAAAAACTGCGATAGACCGAGTCTGCAAAAAATGAACCGCAAAGTAGTGAGGGACTACTGTATACAGTCTATTCTTCTTTGAAATCAATTATTTATAAGCGTAAATAGCAATATCTAGTTGTAGCATTTCACCCTAGGGAACCTCTGTTAAGAATATCTATCATTTTATTTTTGCCAAAGTAACCTTGTAATCTGAAGTACCGTAGATGGAAGTGTGAAGTCTATTAAGCACTATTCACATGAACTGCTATGCAATTTCTGAGATGAGTTGTTACAGTGCCTTGCGAAAGTATTCGGCCCCCTTGAACTTTTCAACCTTTTGCCACATTTCAGGCTTCAAACATAAAGATATAACATTTTAATTTTTTGTGAAGAATCAACAACAAGTGGGACACAATCGTGAAGTGGAATGAAATTGATTGGATGTGTCAAAACTTTTTTAACAAATAAAAAACTGAAAAGTGGGGCGTGCAATATTATTCGCCTCCTTGCGTTAATACTTTGTTGCGCCGCCTTTTGCTGCAGTTCCAGCTGCAAGTCTCTTGGTTTGTCTCTATCAGTTTTACACATGGAGACACTGAAATTCTTGCCCATTCTTCTTTGCAAAACAGCTCGAGCTCAGTGAGGTTGGATGGAGAGCGTTTGTGAACAGCAGTCTTCAGCTCTTTCCACGGATTCTTGATTGGATTCAGGTCTGGACTTTGACTTGGCCATTCCAACACCTGGATACGTTTATTTGTGAACCATTCCCAAACATCCGACAACATCAAAAAAATTGTGGGTGGGGTAGGTGAAACACCCACACTTGCCCCCACCCTCATTCGCCCCACTCTGGGCCCATGAGCAAGGCCCTTAACCCCCACCATGTGCTCCCTAAACAGGTCTCTCTTGAAAATGAGTTCTCGTGGCTCAATGAGACTACCTGGATAAATAAAGGCTAAATGAAAAAAAAAAAAAAAAATTCCATTGTAGATGTGGCTTTATGTTTTGGATCATTGTCTTGTTGGAAGATAAATCTCCATCCCAGTCTCAGGTCTCTTGCAGACTCAAACAGGTTTTCTTCCAGAATGGTCCTGTATTTGGCCCCATCCATCTTCCCATCAATTCTGACCATCTTCCCTGTCCCTGCTGAAGAAAAGCAGGCCCAAACCATGATGCTGCCACCACCATGTTTGACAGTGGGGATGGTGTGTTCAGGGTGATGAGCTGTGTTGCTTTTACACCAAACATATCGTTTTGCGTTGTGGCCAAACAGTTGGATTTTGGTTTCATCTGACCAGAGCACCTTCTTCCACATGTTTGGTGTGTCTCCCAGGTGCTTGTGTCAAACTTTAAACAACTTTTTATGGATATCTTTGAGAAATGTCTTTCTTCTTGCCACTCTTCCATAAAGGCCAGATTTGTGCAGTGTACGACTGATTGTTGTCCTATGGTCAGACTCTCCCACCTCAGCTGTAGATCTCTGGAGTTCATCCAGAGTGATCATGGGCCTCTTGGCTGCATCTCTGATCAGTCTTCTCCTTGTTCCAGATGAAAGTTTAGAGGGACGGCCGGGTCTTGGTAGATTTGAAGTGGTCTGATACTCCTTCCATTTCAATATGATTGCTTGCACAGTGCTCCTTGGGATGTTTAAAGCTTGGGAATTTTTTTTGTATCCAAATCCAGCTTTAAACTTCTCCACAACAGTATCTCGGACCTGCCTGGTGTGTTCCTTGGTCTTCATGATGCTCACTGCGCTTTGAACAGAACCCTGAGACTATCACAGAGCAGGTGCATTTATACGGAGACTTGATTACACACACAGGTGGATTCTATTTATCATGATCAGTCATTTGGGACAACAATGGATCATTCATAGATCCTCAATGAACTTCTGGAGTGAGTTTGCTGCACTGAAAGTAAAGGGGACGAATAATATTGCACACCCCACTTTTCAGTTTTTTATTTGTTAAAAAAATTTGATGCATCCAATAAATTTCATTCCACTTCACGATTGTGTCCCACTTGTTGTTGATTCTTCACAAAAAATTAAAATTTTATATATTTTATGTTTGAAGCCTGAAATGTGTCAAAGGGTTGAAAAGTTCAAGGGGGCAGAATACTTTTGCAAGGCACTGTATAAGACAGAAGAAACACACTTTGGTCTGGGCCACACAAACTCACTGGAAGGTCCTTAATACAGTCAGAATTAAAATATTATTCTCCAAACTGAGGTTGTTCAACAAGTAAAGATTATTGACGACTTTCCCAAAGAACCTCAGTTTAAAAGATCTGATCTCCATTCTTCCTCTTTTCTTTCTTTTCTCTCTTTAGAACTACTGGACTGCGATGACCTTCATTCAGTGATCCGACTGGTCCTAAAAGCTGGGAATTATATGAATGCTGTTGGTATTTATTTCCTATTTCTGTTAGTCTTTGTGCTTTTAACTCTACCACTGTTAACCAGATGACTACATTTGTCAAATGATTCACTCCTCAGGGTGGTTACACTGCCAATGCAATTGGCTTTAGGATGACGTCTCTTCTCAAGCTGGCAGACACCAAAGCCAACAAGCCTGGCATGAACCTCATGCACTACGTTGCCAAAGTGAGGTGCACTGCAGAGATGGACAACATTTTGTGAAAGCAAACTGCTGTGTCCTTACATTTTCTTTAAAAATGTTAATTATGAAACGGGAAGATCCTGTTGTTTTGTCGTCTTCTGAATATTCTTTGCAGTCTACTTCTGCATACTTTGTGCAATTGTAGCCATTCATGTAGCAAACCTTAAGCTCATTTAGAGCGCTATGATTTGCACATTTTATACTACTCATAATGTTTAACAGCATCACATAATCTCCAATTCCTTCAACAACCTTCTCTTTGAAATTTACTTCAGCATCATTGCTCTGTTTTTGTTTTTAACCACTTTTAACCTTTAGCATTAAGGATTTTGTGGGGGAAGAAGTTTTAGCTTTTATTTAGCCTTTTGATACTTTTAGCTTGCCTTATTGCCACTTTTAGTATTTTGTTAACTGAAAGTGGCTAGCAAGAAGCAGCATGATGTTTAGCTAACTAATCCTTTGCTGTTTTTTCTTAATGACTTGCAACTTTTGGATTTTAGCTAACAGTTTGCAGCATTTAGCTTTGTTTAGCTCATTTTAGCTTTTAGCTTGTTTTGTTTTGGCTTTTAGCTAATGCTTAGCCATTTTTTAGCTTTAACAATTCAGTGTTAGCTCCTTCAGCAAATATCAGCAGTCATTTAGTACACAACATTCCACTGCATTTTTGCAACAAAAAAAAAAATTCTATAGTTAAAACCTTTTTTTAAAATTCCCCCACAGTTATGATGTTCTATTTGTTAGTTTTCTGATTTATTCATCACCTCTTTATCTGTTGCTCACCTTTTTGCCACAGCAAGCAGAAGAAGTCGACACGGAGTTGCTGATGTTTCCCAACAAGCTCCATCACATTGGGAAGGCATCAAGGTGCTCACATTCTTAAACATGGTTTGCTTAAACACTTAAAATGTTGATATACAAGTCTGAAAAATAACTTTAGAAGAAAAGTTGGATTCACAGTTATCTCTACATCGCCACAGAATCTGTAAAGATGATATAATCGCAGACTTTGAGCAGGAAGTTCAGAAGATTAAAGAAGTGAAGTTGTTCAGCAGCATACAGACTGGCCTCTTTCAACAAATGGAACAGTTTCTTAAGGTGAACATGTCCTCATGTTTATACTCATTAAATGTTCTAAAGTGCCTAATACTCATGTCGATAACTTTCTGTTGTGCAATCCTCTTGCGTTTCCTTGTGTCAGAGGGCTGAGGCTAAGCTTGCACATGTGGAGACATCTCTTCAGAAGCTAAATGATCTGAGCTGTGCTGTTGCCGAGTACTTCTGTGAAGATCCAGCTACCTTTAAACTGGAGGAGTGCTGCTCCATCTTTCACTCTTTTTGTAAGAGGTTTGACACAGCTGTACAGGTAAAGTTTCAACAACGGTACAGTAGTCCCTCGCTACTTCGCGGTTTGTTTATCGCAGATTCGCTCTATCGCGGTTTTTCAAAATAAGATTGGACATGACGCACAATTGGCTGATTGATAGATGAGCCGCACAATCGGCAGGGAATTTTTATTTAAAATAAATTGTTTAAAATTATTTATCACCTGCTGCACATTTGTGCAGCCCACACATTAGGATAAACTTCCTGCTGCAGCTGATCAGCTGTTCACCATGCAGTGGAGAAGTGGGTGTGGCCAAGAGCGCTTGCAGGTAACAAAGAGCAGATGAGGAAGGGAGGTGAAATCATGACATTCTGTGCTCTTTTAGAGCGTTTAGAGTTTTGCAATATTCTAAACAATGTTTCCAGAGTCTGGGAAGTGTTGAAAACGCCATTCCTACATCGTGGTTATTCACATATCGCGGGTCTTCAGGGTACGGATCCCCGCGATAAACGAGGGACTACTGCATATCTTTTTCATTTCTCAAAATTTAAATGTGTGTTTTGTGTTGTGGAATGTTGCAATAAAACTTAATACATTGTCTCTTTACATTGCTGCAGGAGAACAGAGAGCGAGAGGCAGCTGAACAAAATAAAATACGGAAAGAGAGCATGCGTATGACAGCCAAACGCCGCTCCACAGCATCGTCGTCAGGTCCTGAGCCAAGCGATGACCCCTCGTGCCTGGAGTCAGCCCTGCACAGCCTCCTCTCCAAAGCCCCTCCTGATGGTTTAGTCAGAAGTAAGAAAAACAAACAACGGTCAGTTGAAGGATCACTTTCTGTAGGTGATTCTCAAAAAGCAGTAGCAACAACCCCCTGTAAAGGTCAAGGGAGTCCTGAGAAGAAACATCCAAAGCTACCGAAAGAAGACGTTCAAAAGGAGAAACTAGAAAACAAAGAAGTTGAGAAAATGCGTGAGATAACTTGGAAGGTGCTTCAATACCAAAATGCCAAAGACTTCTGTGATGGTGACAGTGCTTCAAGCAGTCCTTGTTATTCTGACACAGAACAAGTCAATTCTTGCACACCTAAAAGTAGAGATTACTTCTTTTCCAGTGATGGGAGTGTTGGTTCCCCGTGGACTATCCTCAGCCCAGTCCCTTGCTCCCGAAAAAACAGGCAACCTCGTTCATGCAGAACTTCATCAACATCTAGTGATGATGTTGATGACGGAGTCTGGGAGACTGACGAGAAAAGTTCCCTACTTAACGCCTGCAGTAAAGAAAATCTGATATGTCCATCAGGAGGATCTGCGTCTCTTCCCGAGTGTCTTCGTCAGAGAGCGTTGTCGCAGCGTCCTCTCCTCAGGTCTGCTTCTGTGGATGAATCCTCACAATCTTCTGCAACTAGCTTTCGACTGGGGCACTTGTTCCAGAGGAGCGAGTTTCAAAGGTCCAACTCCTCTGGCTCAAGGATGGAGGCTATTAAAGGAGAAGGAGCACACAGCAAAGCAGCGAGCCTTGCAGAGGGCAGGTTTATATCCTTCTTCAAACGCATCGGAGGCAGAAGTAAGCTGGGTGATGTAGAGGAGCAAAACTTTAGAAATACTTGACTAAACATTTTAGAGACAGAGGCCAAGGTTTGCCCACATTTTTGTGTGTTTTTAAATAGCTAAAATTAGACATTTTTTGTGTTTGTATTTTTTAAGTCCTCTATTTTTACCCTTGAGTGGAAAAGAGGCAATTGTGGACTTGCTTTGTACCCTTGGGATATATAGATGGTTAAATTACATGCAAAAATCCATACAGCTGTCTTTTTTTATACAATAAATGGAGATATTCTACCTATTTTAATAAAACTGTTTTTGTGATTTTGGTCACATGTAACTTTTAAGTGTCAATCATCACTTTTCAGATTGTAAAGTCTCCCTGTCATGAAATCCTTGAACCTCTGCCAGGAGCTCATGTCTCCTTATACCTGCTCACATTCCACTTCTTGCTTTTCACTTCATCTATTATTTATTATTTCTGAAAGCTCAACAAGAGAAGTCATGTCCAAGACTTGGAACATTTTAAACTTTTTGACATCTGTAGGTCAACCAAATTGAAAATCAAGTTCAGAATTGAATTCAAAATCTTACTTCTAACCTACAAAGCCCTCAACAACCTAGCTCCAGCTTATATTAGAGATCTTATTGTTCCATATTTTCCTAACGGAGCACTTTGCTCTCCAAACTGCAGGCTTACTTGCCGTTCCTATAGTTTCCAAAAGCAGAACGGGAGGAAGATATTTCAGTTATCAGGCTCCTCTTGTGGAACCAACTTCCAGTTTCTGTCTGTAAGACTGACACATTGTCCAGTTTTAAGACTGGGCTGAAGACTTTCCTTTTTGATAAATCCTATAGTTAGGGTTGGCTTCTTATGTTGCTATAGCCTTAGGGTGCATTCACACCAGCCCTGTTGAGTCCGCTTTAATCGAACTCTAGCTCGTTTTCCTAGAAAGTCCGGTTCGTTTGGGGAAGTGTGAACGCGCCATCGAACTCTTGTCACGGAACAAAAAGGCGAACTCTGGCCCGGGCTAAAACCTAGGTCTCGGTCCGGTAGAAGCGAACTCCAGCATGGTTCAAGTGCAGTGTGAATGTAAACAGACCGAGCCCCGCTCCGCAGGACAAACAAACACCATTTCTCTGACCTTATATGGAGCCGTCAGCTGCCTTGTGTGAAAAACAATATTCTCCATGGTCTTCTGTCTCATCTTCTGCTCATGCTAAGTCCATTTTTGAAAAATGACAAAATATAACTCCTAAAACTGCTAAAACTTGACGCCACTTCGTTTTTATTTTTATTTACAGAAGAAGAAGAAGTGTCTTCAGAGGTTTTTGTGTCGTTTCTTTCAGTAGTTCTTGGTGCAGCGCCCCCACAGGTGAGCGGGGGAATAGGTTGGTTCAACAGGTTGACTCGACTGCACAGTGCAGTGTGAATGCAAACGCACCAGCTCAAATGTAAACAAAAGGTCATGAATATTGGCACCGAACCGAGTCTACCGGACTATCTGGTGTGAAAACGACCTTAGACTACTAGATGACAAATTGACCTAATTTCTTAATGAGTTATTACAATTGAATAGTTTTCATTTGATATTATTTCTCTTATCATGTGGTTCTTGACCTGCCATTGTGCATCTGGTCCAAACCTAACTGGTCGAAGCAGAAGGCCGCTTGTCCTGAGCCTCGTTCTGCTAAAGGTTTCTTCCTCATGAGAGTTTTTCCTTTCCACTGTTGCCTTTAAGCTTGCTCAAGATTAAGAGTCTGTGATGAAGTTGAACTCAAAGCAGTCTGCTCCTCAGATAACTAATGTTAACTTACTTTTACATATGAATATTTCTGTTCAGTGCGTTGAGATGACTTCTGTTGTGACTTGGCACTATGTACTGTAAATAAACTGAAATGAATTGAACCAGAAAGCAAGTGTATTTGACATGTAGACTCAGATTTGCATATTAAAACACAACACCTGTGTTGTCACAAGTGGCTCAACTGTCTAGTAGGAATACAACTCTGTTACTTTGGTAACTTATTCTGTTTGCAGCCATTTAATTCAAGCTCTTGCAGTGCAATGAAACTTGAACAAGCAGCTTAATGTTGGCTGCTTTCTGGCTGTCCAGTTGTCCTCCCACATCCATCCCACCCAGTGGAAAATGCTTAGTAGGGGCATTTGCAGTTGGCTGGCATTTTAATTTAGTGAATAGAGAGAGAGAAAAAAAAGTTTTTGCAAAGATTTTGGCAGCGTTTTAGACGTGAACTCCATCTGTAAACATGAAAGCTCTTTAATATTGGAGGGGAGAACAAAAAATAAGCTTGAAGCGCAGCATTGTACCCAGAGATCCCAGCAGCAAAGCTTTACGTCACCACCAACCGACCTGTTCAATGTAAAATGAGACCTCCAGAGTACAATCAGTCCATTGTCAAAGAAAACTAAGAGCAGTGCAGGACAGTCTTGTGAGTCCGCTCCAGGACTGGAGGTGACTCACTGTCTCGGCCAAGTTTCACTTCTCGCAGAGCCCCAGTGATGAATTGTGCATTCAGAACTGGATGTTCAGTGAAAGATGAGAGTCAGGCGTGCACTGAGAGGAGGAGGAGGTTTGCAACTTATATTGTACTGAGGCACTTGAGCTGAAAGAAGCATGTGAAAGGAGAGAAGGACAAGTAAAACTGAAAACACTAAACGGGACAATCAAAGATGAAGTGAGCGGCTGAAAGAGAAGTGGAGGCTGGAAAACTTTCTTATTTTACACAAGGGTTTGCAGCTTGAGCAACAGGTACTGGTAAGGTGAAGAATGTTTAATATTATTGCTATCAAAATATATTGTCAATCTTTCAAAATAATATTTTGTTAAAGGTTATAGAATTAAATAAGCTATGGTTACATCACAGAAGTGTTATTCAATCTATGATGGTTTAAGTGGACATTAAACAAGATCAGTGATGTAATTAGATTTTTTGTTTGTTTGTTTTGTTAAAATGGAGGAGCAGAAACATGTTGCAATTTGTTTAAAAAAAAAACAAAAAAACTTCTGTCTGAAGGAGAAGTAAAGATTTGACTTTAGCCTCCTGCATTACTGATTACATTCCAGACAGACATTTTGTAAAACAAGAAAAAGAAATTATAGTAAAATATGAATTACAATTTTTCTCTTTTTTTACAGTATGGCTTTTACAATAAAAAAACAACTGTAGCAACAAAACAAAACAAAAAAAATAGTCTAAATGAATATAAAGCATTTTATAGGGCAACATAATAAATGTTAATAATAAAAAAGCAGCTCAGATGGTAGGGTGAAATAATGGCTTTATTTCGTCACTTTATTTGAAATAACATAGATGTGTTGTGATAATTGTCGTTTATAAGCAGTATATAAAACCCAGACTGAAGTTAAAGAACATTAATTCATTGTTGAAAGAAAATGAACTGACCCCGACGTGATTTGAACACGCAACCTTCTGATCTGGAGTCAGACGCGCTACCGTTGCGCCACGAGGTCCTGCCGGCTGCTGCTCACATCACTGCGCTATCTGACTGACAACTCACAGTCAGACGGGATTAAATACTAAATATAATAAAATGGTTCTAGTAATTCGCTAAAACCACAGAATTATTATTTAATTCTTTTTTTTTTTAATCTGGTGATGATCCCCATAGCTGCCACCTGAATGCATCTTCTAGGAGAAAAACGATGTTTAGTAAAACAAACAAATAAATTAAATAATTAAAACATTTTTTTGAACGAAAAGGTGAGTTCAGGGTTTGTATCACAATATCTTTTTTCATTAATTTCTTATTCCGTCCTGGTTAATCAAATGATGTTTGATTAACTCGACAGTAAAAAGACACTAGACGGCGCCATTCATCCGAACCAGCATCATAGCTGCCATGCACTTAAAAACATGTAGTTTTTAAAACAGCTGGTCAAACTTAGATGTTTAAATTAGCTTCTTTTTAAAAAAAAATATTCCCTCTGTTTGTTTTCAGGGAAAGAAGAGAAGTAAAAGAACATTTTCTTTTTTTGGTGGCCATCCTGTGCTGAGGACAATGGAAGGGTGAGAGGACACAGAGTTGAAACTGAATGTTTTTTGTATGTTTATTCAGTTTGACATGAACATGAGATTAACAAGATAAAGTAGAGTGCTGACCCTGTCTCTGTTATCTATCTATCTATCTATCTATCTATCTATCTATCTATCTATCTATCT